ATTGCGGTGGGATAACAGATGACTTTTCTCTGCTGTAATAACACTCTGGACAACACACCATGCCAGGTACTGTTCTGAGCACATTGTATATTATCTTGTTCTCGCCCCTCAACAACTCTGTGGAGTAGGTAATGTTAGCACCCCCATTTACAATAGAGAAGAGGGAGAGCTTTGTTAGGCTGTGACTCCTGAGATTGCCATGATGTTTATACAATTTAAGAGAAGAGATCATCATTCTGCAGGCAAGAACATCTTCACGCTCAAATGAAGGCTTTTTTTTTTTCTTTAATCCTCACTGCAAAACATTTTCTCTTCACTACTGAGTGAAATCAGCACCCACTAAGTAGCTGTTAGCGAGCCAGGGGTAGGTCGCTTTTTAAAGCACACGCTTCACATAGTCCCTATTGTAAAGTTACAAGACCAAGGTCATGCATCTGGACTAGTAAACAGGGATGTGTTTCTGGAAAGGCAGCGAGTAGTGCATCTCTAATGCTCTTTGCGGATCGAGTTGATTCTGAGAACCTCCTGTGTCAGAAACATTTTAATCATTCTTCATTTTCCGATAGGAAAAGATTCTAGTGAAGAGATACAGGTAACTTATCTACGTTTATGCAGATAGACTGACTAGATGATCAGGCCAGTAGGGGAGCTTCAGGCCAAGAGAACTGAAGTCCAACTTTGAGGCTGATATTTACTGGTTCTTGTGACCTTGGGTAAGATTGATTTCCCAGTTTCCTCATCTGTAAAATGGGGATAATAATATTTCCAAACTCGTGCCACGGTTTTGAGGACTAAGATGCATATAAACCAGGACAGGACCTGACCCAGAAAGACAACACTCAGTATATAGAGGAGCTGCTGTTACTGTTATCATTTTCATTATTTTTCATAACTTTCAATGGAATTCTTATTGAGGTGAGCTCCTTAGGCCACATCAATACCCAAAACATGAGAAAAGTAAGGTTTTTGGCAAATACAGTTTAATTCTATTGCAAATAAAAGAAGATGGAGAACTATGACTTGGGAAGAAGTACAACAACACTGATTATCCAATTCGCAAATATAAGGAACAGATGAGGGAAAATCCATCATACATAAACATTTCTCCTCACCACCACTGGGCCAATACTCTGCACCTAATTCTCTCACTAACTGAAAGGATGCTGTTTCCCTGGGTACTCTTTAAGGAGAAAGGAATGGTCTTCTGCAGTCTTTCATGACACTTGGAGATCACAAGCAAGGCTTAGAGCTTATTAGCTGCAGAAGCTGCCACACCTTCAGGGATTCCTTCCCTGACACAAAAGAGGGTGCTGAAAGAAATACCTCAGGCTGTGAGACAATGTGTGTTCCTTTGTACCCTAAGGGGAGCTCAGCTGAACATGCATAACTCCTGGGGTTTCTTGGACCAAAAAATGCTTTTCCTCCAATTTATATCAGTGAAGCTGGCTACAGTGACCATGTGGGCCCAAGGGGAATTTTTTTGCAATGTATTAAATCTACTGTTTCCCCTCTTCTTGTCAAATTAGTTGAAGGTGATGTAGGCAAAAGATCTGTAAAATAATAATGTATTATTTTGTTTAAACCATCTTAAATTACATAAGTGCTTATATAGATTAAATGGAGAGTGTTAAATTTAATAACCATAATGATATAGCTGTGATGTTTAAGCATAAAAGTTGATTGTGAATTTTCTGGGGCCAAGCAATATGGGAAACATAAGTTCTATGCCTCTTGGGAGAAAAACTATCAGTTACTAAGCACCAACCATTTTCTGGGTACTGCATTAAGTCTTACATATTTTATTTTGATTACTTTATGCACTACTCTTTAAAATAAGCAATATCTACCATTTAACATATGAGGAAACTGATCCGCAAAAGGATTAAATTGCCTAAATTCATGCAACCAGAAAATGTTAGAACCAGGATTCAAAGCCAAGAGCTATCTAAATATTAAATGCATTTTTTTCTCTCTCCTATTAAAAAAAAAAGACAAACCAATTTCATAACCATTCTCCTCACTATAAATGACAAGTGAAATTTCTCCCATGGAGCATTATAAATATAGGTGACTTTTATCCAGATTTGGGGAGTGGGGGAAGATAGGAGAGGAGAGAGAAACAGAGAATGAGATTGAGAGTATCTTTTTCCCCTCAGCCAAGCCTTTATAAGTAAGAATATCAAAAGAACAGGCTATCTGCCTTCAAGTTTCTATGTGAAAAGAAAAGTTTCTCTCTCCACACAGTACCATGACAAGATTGTATATAATCATCTGGACTGCTCAACTTCGACCATTTATTCTACAGGCAAAGCAAGGGTCCTCTGAGCCTCAGAAAGCTGGGCTCAGAGCTGAAGAATGCAGCCTGCTCATTCAGCCTCAGCAGTGTCTCAAGTGGCTGCCAAAAAAAGACAGGTTCCCCCATAAGGGAGCCATTTATTTCCTTTTGAACTGTGCGAAGGATTCAGAACAAATAGGCTCAGTCTGCCACCTTGTGAGCCAGAGAGGACTCGTAATTTCCTGAACGACAGCCCTCAGCACAAGAGAAGCTGTACCTAAGAGCCCCAGGCTCCAGGGGGCACCATGTACAGTGTATTTGGATATGTGGCATATGAAGGTACTTCTCTGTACCAGCTCTCAGGGCCAGCCCTCAGCCGCACAGAGAATGAGAGAAATGACCGAAATGGGTCTTTATCAGAAAGGCTATAGAGTGCTGCAAAACCAACATGAGAAGTCTTGAACTTGGAGTCAGTGAATTTGTTTCTGCTACTAACTACTCACAGACCTTGAGCAAGTCTCCTAATTCTTCTGGGCGGCCTCTGCAGATGAGAGAGGTTGACCAGGTGATCTACAGGGCCACTCTAATAATGTGAACTACCTCAGGAGAGAAATTGCCTTCTCTCTGATCTTCTAACTGCCCTTCAGCTTTCTGATCCCTTTTGCACACTACCACCAAACTTACCTTATGAAATACAGCTATGCTCTTATCACATCTGTAACACAGCATACAAAACCATCCACAAGTGGGCCGTGCCTCCTGGTCTTTGCCTACTACCACATTCATTCATTCAATCATTCAACCAATCATTCATTCAAAAAATATTTATGTATTCCCAGCATATCCCCATGTCCACACTATAATGGGCACACCAGGCATTTTTTATGCTTCCGTGCTTTTGATTATACTGTTCCCTTTGCTAGGAATACCTTTCCCCCACTTTCCCCTAGTCCAACTCCTTTTGACCTCAGTGCAAAAGTCATCATCTCTTTTCTGAAACTTCCTGGTGAGCGATCATCCTCTGTGGCTTCTTAATGTTTCATACCTTGATCACAGTACTTAACATTGTTTTGAAATTACATGTGTACTTGTGTAACAAGGTAATATCTTGATATAATCAGGAGTATCATTTTTTTCTCTGCAACTTCTTTCTTCTCTGGGCTTCTTCCACCACTTGGAGGCTTTGTGTAGGTACTATCCTCGGGTTAGAGCTATTCCTGCCAAAATGAACAGAGAAAGGAAGATTCATTGCCCAGATCTGAGCTCCAAAATGCACCTGTGAGAGTCATAGCAAACATATGAAGCTGAGAGCTGTGAGAGCAAATGTTTTCTAGATTGCAAGAACCTGAACGTTTTAAGTACAAATTCAATATTTACACTGTAAATAAAAGGTTCTAACACAGAGATGCGGAGCCAGCCTACCTGGCTACCCCACTCCCACTCTCACTCTCACCAGTAGCTGAGATAAGGTGCCCGTGCTTAAGAGTTAGAAGTGGTTGTTGGTTCTAGCCTCCTGCCCGTCCTGAAGAAGTTGTAGTCGGGGTGAGAACTTACGCCCTACTTTTTCTCTTGGCCCTGGAAGGCAGCAGCTGTGCAGAGTCTCTGAGCCAGGGTATGGTGGCCGTCAAGGATATTGCGATGTGCATTCCTGGGCAAGACAGGGATTTTCCCCACAGCTGCTTGGAGCCCAGAATCTGGAAGCTCCTGAGCCCCCCCGAGAATTGTAAGAGATTGATGAAAGACAACAGTGATACCAAACGCCCAGAAGGCAGGATGAGGGGGACGCAAAGTCATCCCATGGCCCTAATGACCAGGGACTCTGTGAACGGCCAGTCCCAACATGATGGCCCTTCCATACACACTTTTTACTTCTCTCCGTCTCCTCAGTGGCTAGCACAGTGGCTGATAGTGTGCACTTTGTAAACCTGTGTAGCCAGGAAGACAGAGTAGTAAAGAGTTACCAGGGGAACCTGAGTTCGGTTTGCGCCATTTTCCTTAACTCTCCCTAAAACCCCCAAATAACATTAACAAAATAACTCTTCAGTTGATAGGAACAGAGTGGATTGGTGGTTTGCTAGGGCCTGGGAGGTGGGGGACATGGGGAGGAGATGCTGGTCAAAGGGTACAAACTTGGAGTTACAAGAAGAACAAGTTCTGGGGATCTAATGTATAGCGTGGCGACTATAGTTAACAATACTGTATTACATAATTGAAATTTGCTGAGAGATCTTATTGTTCTCACCACAAATAAAAAGTTAACTGTGGGGCGATGGAGATGTTAACTACTTCATTGTGGTAATCATTTCACATTGTGTACATATATCAAATGATCACTCTGTACACCTTTAGCTAATACAATGTAACTGCCAATTATATCTCTATAAAGTTGGAGGGAAAAGTCTGCAAGATCCCCCACACACACACACACACAAATAATAATAAAATAACGTATGAGGGAATAAGAAATACAAATAACAGATAAATAGAAAATCTTTAGGGCTACAAGAACTATGAATATAGGCCAAGACAGGAAACAAACACCAGCAGTATTTTTCAACCATTAACACTTTATTATATTAGTAGTTGATATATTAATTCTCCTAAAATTTTACATAACCAATATATTATAAATATATGGACAGTTTCCTTACAAATATAAATATTAGGATACCATCTATATTTAGCAAATGCTTAATAAACATATGTACTAGATCCTTTTCCCCATTCTTTCCACCCGCCTGCCCATGCACAGCCCCTCAACACACACTCTTACAGCATGGTGGTATTTTCTACATTTCATCCATGTACATAGAGGCCCATCTTACTAACAGAGCTCCCAGGGAATGGCACTGTGTCATGGGGACCGCATGGCTAGAAAGTGGTCATCACCACGCACAAACAGAGGGGCCCACAGGCTCCATTCTCCTCCATGCATTTTCAGAGGATCAGAACATTAGCACATCTCAGGACTATGTTATGATTTGAAGCCCCAAGAAAGTTAATACTATGTCTAATACAGAGCTTTGGGAATTCCATGCAGGCTCTATGAAGCAGAGAGAATTGGGACCACACAGGACTTGCTGCGGAGCACCGGGTAAGGGAGGGCATTTCCACGGATTCTTCAGCTGAACTGGTGGACAGCTCTCAGGCACGCATGTAGCGGACAATGGGGGTGACACAGGTGCAACCAACAGTCACCCGCACCTTTTCCAGCCGGAAGGAGTGGGAGCAGCCCAGGGGCTCCCTCCGGAGGACTAGGACCTCTTGCTGGATGGGAACGGAGTTCATGGAGCTGTCTTCCTGGCCCTGGGCGTTGATGCAGCCTGAGTGCCTGCACCGGGCCTCTGCGATCTCAGAGGGGAAGCGATGGGGGTCCCGGGTGATGCTGCAGAAGAAGCAGGCAAAAAAAGGTGGTGAGGCAAGGGAGAGGAAGGTGGACAGAGGATGAGAGCCCTACAGCATCTGCAGGGAGGTGTTTCTGAGTAACTCGGTCTCCAGCAAGACGGCCGAGATTCAGACACTGCCCCCTGGCAGGGGCTTAACTACCTAAGCCTCAGTTTCCTTAACTACAAAATGGGGATTCTTATACACCTCTCTCATAGGATCGTTAAGATCACTCGGTGATAAAAATGCATACAAAATGCTATACCAGGAACACTTCTAATTGTCCCCGGAATTTGTTTCCATAATTACATTTGGAACATATAGATGAGTGCCCAGTATTCCAAGAATCTACATGTAAGAAAAAATCACAACACTGCACCCTGAACATCCCGTCTAGCATCCCACTTCCCAAACTGGCCTTTCTCCTCCACGCTGCTCTCCTCCCCAGCCTTGAAGACTGATGTCTAATCTGAGTGGATCTCTTTAAACCGACTTTTCTGGTCCCTGTGCAGAGATAATTACGTAGGCTGCTTTAAGGGGCCCTCTCTTCCCACACAGAAATTCGTAAATTCCAATGTTAGGCTGCATGAAGCAGAAAAGGACAGAGTTGATGAGAAGTTGGAAGCAAAATAGTAGGACCTTCAACCACATGAGAGGACCTAGCCCAAAACAGTAAGAAAAATGCAAGCTCCCAGGTATAGTGGGATTTCTGTTTTTTAGAGTAAATGTAAGTTTTTTTCCTATATTTTCTAAATTTTGTACTTTACAATTAGGATAAATTAACATACATTTCAAAAAAATGTGAAGATCCATCTCATTTGAACCTACCTGTAGTCCCAGGGGGAGCTGGAGCGGTTCTGGAGGTCATTTGAGATGGGAGCACCCTGGTTTTGATTGAGGATGCGAATGTCAACCCTCACACTGTTTTCCTCCAGAGGAGGGCAGAGGGCAGCATCCCCCGCTTTGTTTTTTTTCCGAGCTTCCACCTCCCTCAGGAGGGTGAGCCCCAACATCAACAGCAGCAGGGACTTGACCTGGAAAACAGGAGGTTGCAGCTGGTTAGGGACACTGGTGCTGCTTGCGGGCAAGACACTCCCCATGCTCTAAGCCGAACTCAGCACTGCTGTTGTTTTCTGGGATGAGGGCTTCTCTCCATATGCCACCTGGAATGAGAACAGTCATACAGGAAGATATCAGGGTACTAAACTGAGAACTCACTGGCCTGGTGACTGAGCCCTACACAGTCTGAGAGCTCCTTAACAGTGAGACAGACAGACAGACAGATGTCAGGATCCGGGACTGGGTTCACAGCTTGACCTGGCTTCCTTGATGAGCCTCTGGTTTCTCTTCTTTCTAGCTGGATTATAATACTCACTTTATAATAATAGTCACAAGATTAAATGAAATGTTCTATGTAAAGCACACTATAAATATGTATAACAAAAGTGGATGCTTAAGAAATGACAGCTCTTGCTTTTTCTTCCCAATCTTATATCCCATGACTCCTCTGAAAAATCCTGCCTCCCAGCGGCACATCCGTCTAGAATACTCTGCCCTGCCTCTAGCTATGCAAACTCTGCTCTTCCCTGCAGATGTGGTTCCCTCCAGGAACTGTACCTCAAGTCGTTCCATTAGAAGTATGTTCACTTTCCTTAAATCATAAAGATTTTACCATCTAGCACTCAAGAAACATTTCTTTATTATCGGAAGATATAGCATGTTTGTTCATGTCAGATCCACACCTATTAGATCATAGGTTCCCTCAGGAGCACATGTCATAGAACAAGTGGTCCATAAATACTTTCTGGATCAATGGAAGTGCACGTGAGTGAACAAATGAACAAAATGAGACACTTAAATTAACAATACAGTTAAATCCAACACATTATGGAGAAGCAACCGCAGCAAAGTTCCAATTACCCATGTTAATTGAAAGAAGCAGGACATTAACGATGCGCAACAGAGATACGGAAACTATCTCTTTAGCTCTGGAACACATTTTTTATACTTACATTGAAATATTGGCTTATCTGGTGCTACAGGAATGCACAAAGAAAGTACTCCATGAAAACCTTGCTAAAAGAAAAACTAAAAATCTCTCCAGCTTCCCTCTGTCACAGTCATGCCTGACTCGCCCCACCTTCACTGCTGACCCTTAGTGGGGATGGACGAGACCCACTACCCATTCTCAACATAATGCAGACAAGAGCTGAGGCCGAGCTGCTTTCACTCTCTGGCTCAATGTTGTTCAGCTTACACCTTCTGCGAATTAAGGTAGAGGAGGTAATTAGACATGTTGGTTTAAAGGACCTCCTTTTTAATATTTTTCAGATGCTGGAGGCAAGAAATCATAAAAGTAAATAGAAAGGTCATGGTGTCTACTTGTTGTTCTAAGATAGCTGATACTAAAAAGAAGTTGAAAGTGAGATTGACCTAGATAAGCCCAAAGGAGGCTGATCTGCCTTCAGATAATCAGCAGTGTCTACTTTTATCTCCCACAATCATTCATTCATTCAACTCTTTCTTGACTCTATAGTGTAGTGATTCAGGATGCGGGCTAGGGAGTCAGATGTTCATAAATCAGTCCCAGGACTCTAGCTGTGACTCAGTTTGCTCCACCAGAAACCATGAAGATTAAATGATACCAACTATTCAAGGCATGCAGCGCACTGCCAGCAGAGGATAGGTATTCAATACATAGAGGGCTCCTACTCAGTTACCATCATGCCAATGATACACAATGGACAGGGAAGAGGTCAATCAGACCTTCTGTCTACACAAAGTGCTCTGCAGTTTTAAAAGTAAAAGAGTGTCTACTTAGACAAGAGCATTCTTAGATAGCCTCCCAAGCCAGCCAATCACTTCCTAAAGTTTAAGTACTTCCTCCTTGGTGTTTTCTTTCCTCTTCTGCATCATACTCACTGAATCACTTCTAATTTCCATTATCAAAGTTTCAAAGTAACTATACCTTGGTTGTATATGTTTAGCAATGATTTCCCTGCTTCCAACCAGTTGTTACTTTCACCACTTACATTCTTACAGCATTTTAGAATACCATTTCACACCGCTTTAAACGCTGGGTTCTCACAACTACCTTGTGAGGTACGGAGAGCTAGCATTAATCATCCTGATCAGACAGGTGAAGGAGTGGTGCCTGAGAAAGAACAAATAACTTGATTGGGTCCACCGCCTTGTTAGTGCCAGGCTGGGGACTCGAACCAAGGTGTCAGTGGGCAGTAAAAGTGCTACTGAAGATCATTATTATTATCAAGATAGAGCCACTCATGGTGTTTAATCTGTTTTGTCTCACAAGAGGAAGCAAGCATTCTAAGCCATGTAGCAGCTGTATCAGAACTACATGCATGCGGTAGGTCCCATGGCTCCCTGTCAGGAAATCAGATGATGTCTGCAGATCGCTCTAGCTGGCTCCACAAAGCTTTGATCTGTAACTATAGATTTCACTGGTTATGCAGTACAGAGCAGGGTCTCTGATAAGGCTCTTGCTGGTTCTTAGGAATGATATATACAGACTTCTCCAAGGCGTTCAGAGCACTTTCTAGACTTGCATTCCTGTATGCTGCATATAAGGGAGATATTACTGCCATTATGTACAATAGGAAGCAGAGGCAAGAGAGAGAACCAACGTGACACTCCACCGAGTGTGAACTCACCTGAGAGACCCTCTGGACATTGTCTCCTGAACTTAGTGGTGATCTGTGCTCACACCCATGTAGGAATGTGCTGCAGAACCCAGCTAGCACCTAGGTCCAAAAGAATTTGCCCCAACTACTTACTAAGGACGTTTCATCTGCCTATACCTCCCAACTTCTAGTCCTACTCCAACACTTGCACTATCATGTTTCTTGCTGACAGTCCAATAGATTTCTTCAAAGAAACCAGAAATAGAAATGGCTTTGGAGCACAGAACTACCAAACAGATGTGTTCAGACACAATGGTCTTAAATTCAGAAATCCTGCCTCTGAACCATTCAGGGAGAAGCACACTGTACTCGGGTCCAGCAAACCAAGACTCATGCCTCAGTTCCTATGCGTGCAGTGCCCAGTGATGATAAATCACTCAACTCCATTGTGCTGTTGCTCATGTGCGCCGGAGAAAGTACTCCCCATCCACTTCACTGGGCTGATGAGTCTCAGAGGTCAAAGTAACTTCATTAATACTGGTATTTAATACTTACTGAACACTCTCTCTATCCTTATTGGTTATTATTTTAAATGGCCAAGTTAATTAAAAACTAAGCATGCGTAGATCTGCCATTTCAGAGTATAGATTTTTGTCATTTCCAATGATATCAATGAATCTCCCCAAAATCCTATGAGGGAAATGCCATTTTTATTCCCCTTAAGTAATTCTCCCCAACTCCCACATTTGGTAAGTAGTGGGGCCAGGTCCATCTGATTCCAAAGTCTATGTCCCCTAAATACTGCACTTCACATAATTCCTGGTCACCTCTAAAACATATATAAATATAACATAGTATTATCTATTATCACTACCATATGCCCTGACCTTTTATGAAATCCAAGCTCTTTTAAGTTACATGTCTTGTAAATAGAGAAAAAAAGAGAGATTACTTAGGCCATAAAATGGTGAGTGATTTCCCAAGTCCTGATTTCAAACTCCTCTATATTCCATTCTTCTAGGCCTTACCTGACTACTGCCGGGAAAAATTCTAGACCCAGGGAAGGTAGATCTTTGTACTCTAACATGTCTCTCTCCTCCAGGAGGAATGAGACAATGCAAAAATGATGAACTGTCAGAGACGTGGCAAATTCCTCTCCTCTAGCAGCTATCCAAAGTGCAACACCGGGTGGTTTCATATCCTCCGTGCAGGGCATGCCTTGTCTACCTGTTGTCTTTGGGAATCATTAAATCTCTTGGGACCCCAGCTTCCTTGGTTAAAGTACAAAATATAAATATATACATATCCTAAGAGACTGGAAGCTCCCACCATGAGATGAGGGTTTTCGGCCAACCTAACCTTATAATGGCAGCCACAAGAGGGGTCATGTTCGGTGGCCTGTGACGCCAAGAGCTGTCAGGTAAGCTGACACCAGCTATGCAAAAGCCATCAGATGAAAAGCTAAGCTTTGCACCCCATTGTAACTTCTGGTTGTATTTTCTTTTTCTCCACCAGACAGGGGTCAAAATTAAAGTCAGTTCTATGTTTCAAAAAAATGACCCCCCAAAAAGACTCCAATCAAATCTAATTCCTTAGAAATATGCTTTTCTGAAATCTCAGGGATGACAGCCCCTAAACAGGAATTAGTATTTATTATTTTCATTATCATTATTATTACTCACCATGGCTGTGCTGCACAGGAAAGTCATTGTCATTTTGCTCGGTTGCCTGCTTTGTGCAGTTAAGTCTTGCTGTGTATGTGTCACCCGGGTAGGCCTGTGTTGTACCAAGGAGGGGATCTGCCGATTTTATAGCAATCACTGTCCTTATTTCACCTGACCTGCTTACTGTCTAAGTTGTGGTTGCCCCAGACTTACTGACGAATGTAGTTTTTTTTCTATTCCACTTCCTGAAGGGGAGTCCAAGAGGGACCCTAAAAAGAGATGACGGAAAAAGGGTCAAATCTTCCTTTTCTTCTATGTCACTTCTACCCCCTTACCCTGAAATTACAGAAAAATTCTTAACTAATTAACTACAGAAATGAGCTAAGTTACAAAATGCTGTCATGATCTTCATGTTCTTCCACAAATAGCCAACAACTCTCGTCATGCACCATATGTTCTACTTTCCAGTCACGTAACATGAACCGTGATTTAAGTGGGAAATAAATCATCCTTAGAGGAGATTTGGTAGTAAATGAGTGAACTATTTTCAGCTCCATTTTATGAATGGGAAAATAAAACCAAAGAAATGAATGACATCAGTAAGAAATTCAGAAATTAAATTCCCAGGTAGCTTCACAGTGCCCCTGAACTAATTCGATTTTAACCCCATGTTTAAATCCTACTGATGCTTAATAAATAGTCATTATTCAGACAACATATAAACGAGCATTATCTTGGCCATCCTTGATTAAGGATGATTTTTTTTAACAAAAATAAATTAGCAAGTAGAGACTTTAAATGTAATTTTAAAATGACCTGATGAAAGTTCATTTTTCTCAGTTCAGTTCAGGTCAACAAATATTTATTAAGCACATGCCATGTGTCAGGCATTATACCCTAAGGATACACAGACATTTCTGAAATAACAGTAACTTATTATTTTAATCTCCATTAAGGTCAGGTAAAATTACACATGCTCTTTTAAAAAGGCAAGGCACCTCCTAGCAGGGTAAAATTATTTTCCTCTATCACAACATGTTTGAGCAAGTTTCCACCATTTTTTCTAATGAAGGAAATAAGAGGAAGCAGCCCTTGAGTTCACTGGAAGCCCCTCCGGGATTGATCAGAATCTTTCTGTGATCATGAGATTTTTAATCCATGTTTCTCCGCTCCATGCCTGTGGATATTCTTCTTTGTATCTTTCCTCTGGAACCATCTGAAGTGTAACCCCTATAGGAAGACTTCCTTGAATCATCGCCTCGGGCTTTATTCCCTTCCCCCATTGCCTATGTGCTCATATTTAGTCTATCTCACCCTTGTTTAATGTTTTAGGATGGTTCTCTGGAGTCTTCATGAACTTGGGGTAACTTCAGTTCCTCCAATAATCTCTGCCACCCTCCTTCTCTAAATATACATCCCCAAATATACAGTCTAAATTAAAACAGTGTATTTACTATGCAGATAGGTTCAAGACAAGTCCCCTAGCCAGCCCTTAGAAGCCTCCCATCTTATGGAGAATTCATAAGACCTTGCCAGATGTGTCCTATACAGTTGGTGAAGCTAGAACCATGAAATCTAGAGCTGTTTTCAGATTTGCTTATATCACTCATGCTACCAAAGCAATATATGCAATACATACTTGAAGCATATTAAATGGGCTCGGTTGAGTCACTCTCTTTCTTCAGTGGTCTTTTCTCCATTGAGAACCATACCTCAACGCATAGAACACTACATACCAGGTCTGTTGAAAGAGAGAAATAATAAGTTACTTTGAATTAAGAGTGTCTGATTCAATATAAGAGGATTTGCTGGATTGCACAGGAGAATTAAATGGCCCTTTACATAAGAAGGAGCAACACTGACCATTTATGTCCCATGGTCACAAAGTTTTCCCATATCAAGATAAAAATAACTAACTTCTCAGCATGTCAAACCAGTAACTAGCTATCAGCAAATTCAGACTGAATGCACAGATCCAGATCATTGTTTCATCTAACTTTTATTAGGCGCTTCTCATACTGTAAATTATGTGCTAATACTGGGGACACATTAATGAATATATGATTAACAAACAGCTGATTATGGTGAAAGCCATTCACTGACTGGTCTTGTACCACCCATGACCTAAGCTGTTGCCAGCTTTACGAGTTTCACTAATGCAGATGGAACTGTCTTTCAACACACTGATGGCTAGAAGGCTCTACACACAGTTACAAGAACCCGTAGAAAGAGATGGCAGAAGAATCTGTAGTTCCAAAAATGGGTTACACAGAGCCTCCCATGAGGCAAGACATTATATAAAGTTAGCAAGATTTTTTTATGTGCTTCCACAGGCTGGAAGTCACGCTTCATGACTGTTGGGGCTGTTAGAGTAATAGACTAGGGACTCTACCTTAATGAGCTTAAAATCCAGTATGGAAAGAAAGCACATGTCTATTAATAAGATTTTAATTAAATGTACATATTTAGTTTTAAAATCCAACCTTCATGAGATTCTATTTTCACTCCAAAAAGGTGAATCCAAACAAGATATGCTACCATCACCTAGCAACCTTTATGGGGATATAGAAACTTACACCTTACACCTAGAAGAGAGGAACTACCACAGCAAATGGCTAAAATTGTGACACTGTCAACAGTGGTCGGCAGGCAGGCTGGCATAACAGTGGATTCGTAGGCTATAGGCTAGATAAATGATGACCCAGGTTAGGCAATGGCAAGAACTTTGTACAATTATTGCCTGCGATAACTTAAGAGGCAGAAATTGTAGCTGGAGCTGCAATCAGAGCTCTAGAGGTAGTGATCAGAATACAGAATGTCCACTATGTATGTTGGGTGCTATTGTCTGCATCTGGCAAAGTCATACGAGAAAGAGATGCAGTCTGGAAAGAGTTGGAGTGTTTGCAAACAACGGTGAAAGAGAATGAAGAGAATCCAGAAATTCAGAGCCTTGCAAGGTTGAAAAAACAACAATTACTATCCCTGAAAAGCAAAAGATAGGATTGGAAAGCTCTGAGGAAGAAATGCCCTGTAAAACTTTTCAACCAAATCAATGTCCTACAGGCAAGAATCAAAATGAAGCATCTGGTAAATCCTTCTCATTGGATGAAAGGACTCAGAGTAAAAAGTGTAAGGGTATATAGTTCTAGTAATCCACCATCAAAACCAAGAGAGCAAGAAAGAGTTATGGGAATGAAAAAGCGAGGACACAAAGATGTTCTAGAATTAAGAACCAACTTAGATAAGAAGTTTACTAAGTTTTTGAGAAAGCTCTCAAAATGAATCATGAAACAACACGCAGTCCCTTAACCAACTAAGAGCAGGAACTACGGCCCCAAGGAAGGTATATTCACCATACTATTTCATACAATAATGTGGCTGAAGAGATCACTGGAGATTATTGAGGGGATCTGGGGACCTATCAAAGAATATACCACAAGCCCTGGCTATGCATCCCCACGATGTCAGCCAAGCAGGATTTCAAGGTTGCTACGAATCAAAACTACTGTGCATCTCCCGATTTTTTCTCTTTTCAAGTGCAAGTGTTTTATCCGAGTCTAAACTGACTGATAGAGACATTAAATAATGCTACAGGCTTTTCTGTTTATATATTTTTTATCACAGCTCTGACTCCTCATTAAAATAGCTAGTTAAACAATTTTATCATATGCTAAGTTCAAAGAATATTCATAAAGAATTAAATGCAAAAAATAAACTGAGCCTACCATTCACTAAGCAAAAGATGTTAGTACATAATTTACTTTAATCCAAGTCTTACCTCCAAATGACATTAATACACGTCTAATTTCCCTGAAGCAGTTACTTGGGTTAGCATGAGGCATGTGGAAATGGGTTAAGAACATTACGGCAGATGGCCTCAAACTAATATGCCTTTTATACCCAACCTTCAAGCTCTTTGAAGCTCTTCTCCCCAGTAAGCACAAAACTCCTTCCCCTGGTTAGGCTACTCAAATTAAATAGATGGCTTATTTGCCTTTGTAGCCCTGGAGCATTTAGAAAGTCCACATCCCATCCCTTTTCATAGCCCCATCTTTCTGCCCCTCGTGAAGAAAAACATGGGGTAATATAACAGCATCTGTAACTGTAAAGCTATAAACCCCTCAATCTTCCACACAATCCCTTTTTTTCTCTCTTTTAATGAAAAAGATTATTTCCACTTTTGGGATTCCTTGAGGCTTAAGTCAAGTATTACCCCTGGTTTGAGTCAAATATTCAAACTCATTATGTGCTTGCTCAACCCTCCACAAACTCACTCCATAGCAACCAACATTTTTTGTAGGCCAACCCATTTTCACTGTGAAAAGATTTTCACAGGACAAAACAGCTTTACTTTTAAAAATTAGAGTTCACTATGATTATTTGTCAGAGGAAAATACTCCGCCAGGGTCCTCATGTGCTGATGTTTGTGGGCATAGGAATTATCTGGGGCTTAGGCAACAAAGGATAAAAAACACAGATGCTCTCCTGTCCCTTCTATGTAAACTGCCTCAGTCTCTCCCCCACCTCACTCTCCTCCCTCTGTGTAGGCATCTGTCTGTCTGAAAAAAAAGAGTACAATTCCTGATTTTCTGGTGAAAAATGAAGAACTGATGTAAAGGGCTGCAGGAGAGAGACAAAGGAAGGGGCTGAGGCAAAAGCTTTTTCTTTTTCAAGAAGGAAAGTAATGGGGAAGGAGATGACTTAGGAAAAGTTTCCTCAAAGTGCTGTGGGAGAATCCTGGGTGGAATAGGGCTAAGGTCACTGTTGAAAGTTCCAGATCAAGTCAGGGATCCATCAATTCTGAAATCTATTCTACGGAACATGGAGACTTTTTGTACCAGTTTTATCTCCTTGTTAAGAAAAACACATCTATTGAATGCCCACTGTGTGCCAGCCACTATACTGGGTACTTAACATGGGCAAGAAAAAAAATTAAAGTACTATCCAAAAAGAAGAAAATCATGACAGTTTTCTCCATCCAAAAGGGACAAAAACTTTATGTTAGACCAGCTGGCACTTGTTTCGGAGAGAACTTACCTTGGGACGTTTTGGAAGTGCAAAGATAGGGTCTGTCTCTATTCAGAGGAAATACAGAGAAGGA